ATATATATATATATATATACAAAATTATAAGAAAGAAAAGATTTAAAAAGAAAATTATTATTTAGAAGTAATTTTTACTGTGGCGAGAAGAGTGCCAGATGTCCAAGTGGGTAAGTTGTAACCTCTGGACACACCGGAGGACCCTGGATTTCATTTACTTGAGGAATTTTTCGCTGTAATTATTTCGTATATGCTGGCCATCTAATTGTAGTCCACGATAATCTTAAGAAAAAAAGCTCTCTTAGTGCCCAAACGGCGGAAATAATTAAAAAAAATTGTAGTGAGTATAATTATTTAGAACAACTATTTCATCGTACGAGCCAAAAATACTTTATTTTAGTTTTCGAAATTTTTAGCAAAAATAATAATGATGAAAATTTTCAATTAAAATTAAAAAGAAAATACATAGAAAAATACCAATTAATTATTTTTGCGAATTTAATTTCAAGGTTTATCCAGAAGAAAACACCTGATAAAATATTTGATCAATCATAACGTACGAGTGCTTTATTTAATATTGTCAGATTTTTATTGAATTAAATAGAGTATATAAACGAGATACAGAAGTAATATCCGTTGAGTTAATTTCTGCATCGATCATGTTGAAATTTTTCTTAGGAACACTTTGCTTAGCCGCTTTTGCCTCCGCTAAAACGGGATGCAAGTTCACTCAACACGAGGAACGTTGTCTTTCTGTTATTTGCAGTAAATAGATTTTCATTTCGATTTAATAATATAAAACATTCTCACTTTAAATGCAATTTTATTTATTTTATTCTTTAGAACCTGATTATATTACTCACAAAGATACAGTGATAAGTTGTTTGAAGAATGCTAATGAGGTTAGTTGATAAATATACGATTTATAGATTTGTACTGATTATAATAATCATCATGATATTTAAACAGAAAGGATTTGGTGAATGCGTTAAAAAAGTTTATGGGACGTATAATTCAAATGAGAAGCATAATCCAACTTGTCCAAAGAAACTTGAAAAGTACATACAACTGTTTTGTGACGAATGCTTTGTTACAAAAGGCGTAAGTATAAACTTTATTAAAGAAGAATAATTAAAAGTAATATTTTTATACAATTTTAAAAATAATATCAAGATTTATTTCTCTTATGATTGATAATACAGTATATTTATTTCCAAAGACTATATTTTTAAAAATACAAAGCATTAATCTTGTATTAATAGATTGATGTTTATGTTTAGGTTGCCAGTTGTCTGAACAAATTTACTGAAAGCCAGGTAATGTATTTTATCGTACATAAATAAATATATAATTTCCTCGTAACTCTTTATTTTTTATTTTTAGAAATGTATATTGGATATAAATGAAGAAAAAGGCGAAACTTCCGAACGAAACAGATCTTATATTAAAACCATTAGCAAGAAACAAGAAAGTACTTTTACTGTGTACAAAAATAAACTTGTTTACTAAAAATCTCACTATTCTTTGTAACCGTTAAAGTAAATTGAAAATGTATACTGTTATGAAATTACAAAAATTTATTCTTGAATAAATAGTTCATTCAAGCATACGTGCGATAATTTTAGTGGTTTATTAATAACTTGATTAATTAACTAAATAGCTTCTTATAAAATTAAATTATTAATTAATCATTATCATTAACGATATTAAAAAAGTATTAAATTTTTTGATTAATTTATATAACAAACTTTTATTATCAAAATTTTACATAAAAGTTTCTATATAATTTATAAGAAAAACGAATAATTTACCAAATAAAATCGAAATTTATTTTACTTTGTCTATGATCTATATGTTTGAGATATACTCATTAAGATATTTATTGTAGAACAACATTTAAAATTATATAAAGAAAGTACAGAAGTGACAGGCCCACCATTGGGTTAATAACTCCGTAACTCCTATCATTTTGAAATTTCTCTTAGAAACATTTTGTCTAGTGGTCTGGTCTATTAGATATTATTCGTCAGTTTCGAAATGTCTTACTTAGAATTAATTGGTTTTGTTTGGTTTGATAAGATACGCCAACTCAACACATAAGCGTTCTGCCAACGGGATGCCTGTTTGAAAGCCTTTCTATGGATAACAGGTAACTGGCCCGTAGTTAGGTGTTAGAAACGCGAAGAAAACCCGGAAAATTCTAAATGGCCAGCCCGTTGGTCAGACGCAAACCCACTGGTCATGTATTCACGTTTGACCAATGGCAGAGTGGTTTTATCCACTTTACCACACTGATCAGTAGTCGTTGACCTCCTCCCGGAAGAGAGAATGTCCAACAATTACTCATTAATACTGGTCTACTATTATTAATTGAAAAGTGATCCGTGGTGGATAGCTTGTGATGGCCCCGCATATTATCGAAATTGCTAACCCCGCGTTTCTTTATGCAGCGAGAGTGTAGCGAAATGACGTCACGAGCAGTGTTGGCCAATTAGAAACCAATTTCAGTGTGTTCGCTGTAAAGCGCTTCTCGAGCGCTGCATAAAGAAACGCGGGATAACCTTAACGTCCGAAAGACTTCAAATGACTTGCTTAGATTTAAAAAAAATCTTATAAAAATGTGAGAATAATTGCTTTTATGTAGGCCTAATAATAAAGTGTTTAAATTTCGGCAACAGATTGTATAAATTACGTGGAAAGTATGCTCTCGTAAATATCGCGTTTATAGAAAAATTATTGAGCTGCAATTTGAAAAAAATTGTAGACCTACAAATTTCGACTGTCACTCCCTGTTTGTCTGTCTATCCTTTCTTAATTTCGAGAAAAGAGTTAGATAGATGATAGTCGAGACCAGATGTGGAAAGCTTAGAGCAGGAGGCCCTCATCAACTATATACGAACTTCCGTTTTGAAACGGAAGTCACGTTACTTCGATTTAAAATTTTCTCCTGAACGGATCTAGATAGATAACCGACACGACTCTATTGCTAACAGAAAAAGTATAACGTACAGGGACAAGACCACCACTAAAAGAATCGAAAACAGTGTGACGAAAAGTTGCAGTCCGGAATTGTGATGATGGACTCACAATAAATAATCGCTTGTTAATTCTAACGAGCGATTATTTATTGCAAGTTTGGTAGTTTGGTTTATTTGGTTACGTGAGCGATCTATCGGGGAAATGCATACCAGGAAGACTTTTATGGGAAGCTGGACCCTATTTAGGTGTTACTAACCTGGGAAACTCCACGTGGTAAGCCCTACCCACGACTAACTATCGGTGTTCAGTGATTTTATCTAGTCGACTACTGGAGGACACTTTTTAGAATTAAGAAAGTATCGTTCAGAAATGAAAAAAAAAAAAAAACCTGAGTCGTTACATGTGGAAAATTAAATACTGTATTGTATATTTATTAACGAAATAACTTTATTCGATCGAATTGAATCAGTTTTGTCGTAAATATTGTTTAAATTTTTTCGCAATTAATTATGGATATGCATTTACTAGAATGGAAAAGTTCTTTCTTCTTTTGAATAGGAATTTGGGGTAAAATTTTAAACTTGATAATTGCGCGATATTTACTTTTATCGTTTTATTTTTGTTTTTAAAATTCATATATAGGCTGATATTATTTTTATCATAAAATATTAAATTTATTTGAACGAATTCAATGATCTAGATTTCTTTCATAACCAAATATCGTATTGTAAGCCTTTTATTTTTTTTCTTTTGATGCAACAATCAAAATATAAGAGAAGTTAGATCAGCCAACCCTCACCGAAAATTGCAAAAATATATTAATTAAATCAACAAAGCAAATAGAAACAAACTTTTAAGTGGTAAAAAATCTATTTATATCACCAGGTTATTATTTTCTTATAATACTTTTTTTACAAAAAAAAAAAAATGGACACTGTCTAGGACAGGGGTTGGCAACCTGCGGCTCGCGAGCCACATGCGGCTCTTTGGATGTGAAGTTGCGGCTCTTTAGTTCCATACGCAAATATTATTTATTTTATCAAAAAAAAAAAAACATTTAAAAATCGTTCTGAATCGATTAACGAGGATTCGGCACCGATTCTATCTCTCAGCCACTTGTACTCGCTTTTCATCGCACCCCTCCCCCGTGACACGCGTCGTCACTGTCGTCATCCGTCGGAAGCTCTCGAATGACGCCGTCGTCGGATGTTTCTATGAGGTTTAATTCGCTTTCGACGCAAGACAATTCTGAATAAATAGATTAGTTTTTTTTATCAAAAAACTTTATTTATGCGAGTTCTATTTATTGTTGGCAAGAAAAAATTTTGTGGCTCTTTAAAAACTTTGAAATTTTGTAAATTGTAATTTTTGGCTCTTCCGACTCAAAAGGTTGCCGACCCCTGGTCTAGGATAAACCGATAAATGCCAGCAGAGCAGTTAAGCCATGTTTAAACCTCTATATCCGAACAACAACAACAATCTTTTAATAGAACAAAAGTTTCGTACTTTTTTTTATAATAGAGCAACAGCATATTACGAATAAAGCATATTAATTTTTAATAATTTCGAATTTGTGTCAAATTTCCCAATTTAGTTTTCAGGATAGTTTTTAAATTATATTTATATTTTAAAACTGTAAAATTTATATTATATTTGGACATATTTAAAATAAACATTTTGATCAAAATAAATCATTGCTTCGTTATTAAATAAATTAGTTTTTTTGCCATTTTATTTTAAGAATTTTAATAATTCTTAAAATAAAATGGCGAAAAAATAGAATTTTTAATAGAATATGTTTGAGTATTTTTTTGTTTACAATTAAAAATTGGTTTTATTATTTCTGTATAAGTCTTTGTGTCCAATAACACAACCTCATACGATCCCATACTTCGAGCTACCCTATCTTTCACTATAAGATAGTGAGTTAGGCGTTTGCTCAACGCGAAGGCTTGAGTAGAAAACACACCGTCGGGAGATCTTACAATTATTATATTGTTTCATATAATTATCTTAACTTTATTAAATGTGCAATATTTCAATTATTCAAAAATTAGAAAGCAAATTAATTTTTTAATTAAAAATTTAAAATAAAATAAAGTAAGATATAATAAATTCATGTCATTTGATATATAATAATAGTTAGAAACTTTTTATTTAATCTTCTTTACAATCAATTTACACAAAAAATTTTACAGAAATATATTAAAGTAGCCAATAAATAATAATGATAATAAAAATTAGAAAATTGAATAATAATAGTGAGTAATTATTCCAACAACATCTATAAATTTACTAATATTTTTGTAAATTTATAGATGATTCCCTACATAATGATTTGTCCAATGTAATCATTGATTTTTCTATTAAATTGCTTGAAGTGAGGACCGAAATGTTCTGAGAATTCTTACAATATACATTTCTACATTAAATTTAATTAATCAGATTTCGCGAAATTTTCATTATATCCTGAAATTGCTCACATTTTTAAAATAAAAATCAAAATTATCTAATAATAGAGTAAATAACTGCAAATTTCCAATAAACGGTTTAAATATATTAGCCTACATTACGTTACATTTGCACACCAGACGTGGAGATTTAAACGATAAAATTATAAAATGTTTAGTAATCATATCTATCATCTAGTCTAAAATAAAACCATTGAAAACTTTGGGGAACCCGAGATGGAATTAGAACAGATCGAAAAACCACGTGAATTTTCAGGAGGAAGTCCGTCCGGATATGTCGGACTCCGTCCTTCACCATCCGACCACCCAATTCTGGGTCTGGCCAAACTCATAATGGGCTTACTAAAAAGTTCCTCTTAGTGCTCACAAGGAGAAAAGAATTTAGAAAAAAAAACTCTTCAAAATTGTCACATTAATTGAAATTTTTTATAATTTAATCAAGCCAGAAAATATGAAATGACGCTCGTGTTTATATAAAGAATTTCATTTCCTATTACGCATTTGTTCTGTTTATTCACCACAATGTAAATACATGTACAGTACTTTACATCGTTCCATGTTTTGTTTAATCGTAATTTTTATAAATCATAATTCTATAATAATTATAAGGAGTTTATATTAAACATACAACTAATTTTATAAGTAATTTTTTTTTTCTTTTCCTTTATTAAATATTTCCGATTATACAATTAATCGACTTTGTATACATAGTCCAATTCAAAAATCATAAATGTAGTTCATAAACAAGCTTCATTCTTAAAACGAGTATGAGGAATATTGAGGTGATTTGCCATATTTCAAATAATTAACCGAATCTACTGAATATCATACTGTAAATCCCCAGTTAACGCGGTAGATACGCAGTTTCAAAATAGTTTACACGCGTTAAGCTAACTTTCGATATAGCGCTTTTTTTGATATGGTATTATACTGAAAAAATGGCGTTGGATTAGAATGGATTGAATTGGAAAAAGATTGGAATGACGTAGAAGAGCAAGTGATGCACATTTATTGTACTCGTGCACTTCAAACAGGAATTATATAAAATTTATTCAGCTTTATTGATTTTAATTGATTATAATATTATTTGTACATTCTGTTTACACAATACGGTATACACGTGGCGGTGCCGAGACTTCAAATTCCGAAATTTTAAATT